GGGGGCAGAGGCCGGCCGGAGGAGGGGGCGTGTCTGTGGTTGCCCCGTCCAATGAGCGCCTTCCCTTTGATTTCCGCCCCACCCCCTGACTGACTGTCCGGACCACCCTCCTGGCCCCAACCCTGTCCCGCCGGCCCCCCACCCGTCACCGTCTGTCCGTAGCCTGTGGAGAGGGAAACACCCAGCGGTCCGACGCCACTGTCACTGGCCACGCCGTGCATGCGGGAGACCGTGACCTGGACAACGCTGGGCTCCTCTCGGCCCGGTGGCCGTCGGGCCTTCCCCCTGTGGACGAACTCCCTCGCCATTCTGTCTGCACTCCGAGCCCACGCGCAGCCCCCGGACCTGCCTTTGCAGACGCGCGGACTTGTGAGAACACTGTCTGGGCTGGTGCCTCGGAGGGAACGCAGAGTTTTGCACGGGAACTGATTGAGTTGGCACTCCGCATTGTTCACGATTTCATTCACTCAGGAAATGGTTTGGCCTGTTGTGTCTTCTTCACCGGTCTGTTGTTTCTTCAACTATATGCAGTGTTTAAAGCAGAGCTTTAAATGAGTAAGCACCCAACTTTTAAAAAAGATAAATGAATTATAAGGAACCCAGAAGTAGGAGGAGCCAAGTTGGGAAATGGAGAATTCGACGTCGTGGTTACCAACCACAGGTTAACGGCTTGAAACCACCAGCCGCTCCTTGGGAGAGAGACAAGGCTTTCCACGCCCATAAACATTTACAATCTCTGTGGAAAAGGCGGCCCTTGGACCTTGGGGGGGACCCTTGGCTTAGCGGGCATCCAGTGAAAGGAACCCAGAATCACCATGTAGTTAGCACCTCAAGGCTCCCCTTGCACTAATAAGACAGGCTTTAATCCGAGAGGCAAGGATCTGCACTTGTCAGAAATGATACAAGAAATGTTCCCCTCAAAAAGTGATGAGCTGATACCAAGGGCTTAAGTGGAGAGCAAATATTTTGAGAATGATGATGGCAACGAATGTACAACTGTGCTTGACACAATGGATGGATGGATGGATTGTGATGAGTTGTACGAGCCCTCAATAAAAGGATTAAAAAAAGAAAAAAATTGTTCCCTTAGCACCAACCCCCACACTCATTGTAAGCAGAGCTCAATCAATTAAGAAACGGACCTATGCAAAGCAACAACTCATAGATTGCCGCTGGACGTTAAACGCCTCTTATTCACAATACCTTACATTTTGTGTCATTGGATAAATTATTGATGTTACCAATGCCTTATACCCTAGGGGGGTGATTAACATTGTTTTCCTTTTTTGTTTCTTTTGTTTGTGTGTGTGTGCTTTTGTTGTTGCTCTGGTTGGTTATTGCGTTGGTCATTATATGACTACAAGTAAACCGAGTCCTTCATGACCCCAGGAACCAGCACATGGAACCTGGGCTCCCACTCGATTCTACCCCCAATCCAAGAACAGTTAGTTCCTATAGCTTGGCCTTGCTCTATACTCACCTTCATGAAGCGATCACTGAAGATAAGGGTGCTACAGCAGTGTGATGAAGAAAGCAGATGGTGCCCACCTATCCATTGGAATTATGTCTAGGGCAGCGGTTCTCAACCTGTGGGTTGCGACCCCTTTGGAGGTCAAATGACCCTTTCACAGGGGTCGCCTAAGACCAGTGGAAAACACAAATATTTCACAATATATAATTACATATTGTTTTGTGATTAATCACTATGATTTAATTATGTTTATGTTCAATTTGTAATAACAAAAATACATGCTGCCTATCAGATATTTACATGATGAGTCATAACAGTAAAATTAGTTATGAAGTAGCAACGAAAATAATTTTATGGTTGGGGAACTGTCTTGAAGGGTCGCAGCATTAGGAAGGTTGAGAAACACTGGTCTAGGGTTTTAAAGGCTTTTATTCAAACAAGGAACCATCTCAGTGTGATGGTTGTCACATGGGGATGTCACTAATGGTCACACAACAAGAAGAGCGTAAGCCGTGGCACTGAATTACACATGTAGACATTGTTGAATGGGAAAATGTTGTGTTGTTTCTATTTTTTCCCCACAATTGAAAAAATATGTATACAAATGACAATGAGTACCAGGAAGAAGATAATTTTCTAAAACTGATTGTGATAATGATGGCGCAACTCTTCTTTATGTGATTGAACTATTGAATTGTGCGATATGTGGAAGAAGTGCCAACAATACTATTAGAAATAAAAATAAATGAAGTTTTCTTTAAAAAGTTACAGTCTCAGAAACCCACAGGGGGCAATTCTACCCTGTCCTGTTGGGTCGCTGTGAGTCAGAATCGATGGCAGTGAGGGTGGTCCTAAGGATGAATGAAAGAGGATGCTTTCAGTCCCAAGTAGTACACACCTGACGATTCAGACTGACCTCAGCAGCAGCAAGTGCATTGTCTCACAAAGCACGGCATCCCATGGGCAGGCAGAGGGGCTGGGTTCCCTGGGTCCACAGTCTCATCAAGAACCGCAGGCATTTCTTTCCGTGTCACTGCTCTGCTGACGCGATCATTGGCTTCAGCCTCACATCCCATGAGACCCCCAGAGCAGCCTGCTTCTCTTCTCATCCAACAAGCAACAAGGCGGAGTTTCCTTTCCCAGAGTCCTAGTGTCCCCTTGAATCTCATTGGCCTCATTGGGCTTAGGCCCATTCATCTCGAATCAATTGTTGCCAAGGGAAGTGGAATGACCAAAATGGCATTAGATGAAATTAGGTCAAATGTTGGGGAGAATGTCATAATGAGTCCCG